CAATAGTTTCCCATAAGAGCCACAACATAAAACTGAAATAACCATGAAATAGAAGGTACCTTCAGGGAGCTTCCTGTACCCTCATTTTGCACTTTAAAAATTTTAATTTTTATTTGGTGCCATATTGGGCTTGAACTCAGGTCTTGGGCTCTTGCTTAGCTTTTGCACTCAAGGCTGGAGCTCTGCCACTTGAACCTCAGCTCCATTTCTGGCTTTTTTCTGGTTAATTGGACATGAGTCTCACAGACTTTCCTGCCCCAGCTGGCTTTAAACTATGATCTGAGCTCAGATCTCAGCCTCCTGAATAGCTAGGATTATAGGCGCAAGCTGTAGGCACCTGGCTCTGTTTTATATTTCATTGATTATTTCTCCTGTGGTAAACACAGGCCCTGGAGATTGGTGCTTTTCAAAGTGAAAGTCTTCCACTTATTTGAATTGCCATCTTTCAAGCACCCTGTACATAGAAGTCAGTAATTCCCAATACAAACATGCTGACCTTTTTATTTTTTAGCAAAAAAATGAACTATTGTTCATTGATTGCCTATACCATCTGATTTAACATGCAAAAAAGCCTCACATAACTGAATTTTATGTTGAATAAATTCAAAATCAGAGAGTACTAGGCTTAATCTTCCATTCAACAAATCAGAAGTATTTTACGTTTCAGCCACACAACCTGTTTATTATCTCATAATGGTGAAGAAAAACCACCCTGCAAGGCTGGGCTCTTGCCTTTTATTAGGTAGGAGGTTTTAAAAAAACTAAAAGACTGAAAGCTGAACAGAAAGTAATGGGGCACATATACAATGCTAGGATTTATTTGAGTCCCTCGGGGAAGTTGCCCTGAGATTCTAGCTATGTCTGTGCAGACAATAGCTCAAACCATGTTTGTAATGTCTCTTCTGGAAATGACTTCATGGACTATTGAATAGCTCCATCAGAGCCTCTGCCAGGCACCAATGGCTCACCCCTGTAATCCTAGCTACTCAGGAGGCTGAGATTTGAGGCTCATGTTTGAAAGTCAGCCCAGGCACAAAGGTCTGTGAGACTCTTATCTCCAACGAGCCACCAGAAAACCAAAAGTGGAGCTGTGGCTCAATGTGATAGAGAGCTAGCCTTGAGCCAAGGAGCTCAGGGACAGTACCTAAGCTCTGAGTTCAAGCCCTACAACTGACAAGAGAGAGGTGGGGGGCGAGATAGAGAGATAGAGAGAGACAGAGAAAGTGATAGAGGGAGAGAGGGAGAGACTCTGAGATGAATGCTGATTGATGGCTCATGCCTATAACCCTAGCTACTCAGGAGACTGAGATCTGAAGATCTAAATTTGAAACCAGTCCAGGCAGGAAGTCCGTGAGAGACTCTTACCTCCAATAGCCAGAAGTAGAGGTGTGGCTCAAATGGCAGAACAGAAATGAAACAGCTAAACTAGAGCACAGGCCCTGAATTCAAGTCCCCCTACTGGCACCACAGACACAGACCCAGACACACAGACACACACAGACACAGACACACAGACACACAGACACACAGAAGCCCTGTAAGCACTTGTGAAGAAAGTTCTTGGAGAACGAGGAGTTAGCCTGCCCACAGAGCCCAGAGACCTGGTGGGCCTACCAGCCATGGAGGCAGATCAGAGATGTAATTCTTGTAACTCCAGTCCTGTGGGGGCACAGGGAGGCGTGCTACAGCCCACACAGCTCAGTTTACCCTCTGTAAAAGTGCTATAAAAACCTTGCCTCCAGACTGCTGATGACTTCTGATTCCAAATTACTTGGACTAGAAATCCTGACTGATAATGTGTTTTTGGAAAGAACTTAAGGTGTCCTTATGAAGAAAGGGGGAGAGGAGGAGAAAAAGTTGTCACTGTAATTTACCAAACCCCGGGTCATGAAGTCACTATACAGTTTTTAAAAACAGATGCGCCAGAGCTAAGTGAATAGCAAACAGAGTCCCAGTGGGTGGAGGAATTAAGTCATTTCTTCTAAAGATACGTGTCATTCTAAGGGCGCTGGGAAGTACTGTCTTCTTTCTCTTCATTTTGATGCCCCAGGCTCCAAACACTTCTATATGTTGGTGCTACCCAAAGTTTTTACCTCATATGGCAGAGAGAGAGAGGGTCAGTTTGCTAGTTTCCTGTGTTAAGTTTCAAATTTGTGATTGTTTTCTACTCACGAAGAAGGTAGATTGACTTTGGCTTATTGTTTCAGAAGTCTGAGGAATGAGTCGTGGACTTACTGCTTTTGATTCTGCTGACAGCACATCATGGCGGATGGCTGCTGCAAAGCTCCAGCTGGGAGACAGAAGAGGAAAAGGGAAAGACTGGGCAACCCCATCCCCTTGTGAGTATCCCTCCCCCCCCCAATGGCCAAAAGACCTCTCATTAGGCTCCACCTCCTAAAGGTTCTGCCAGACCCAGGGGGATCTTACCAGGCCTGGGAAATTCAGCCTTCAACTACTAAGTCTTTGAAGACATTTACCAAAAACTATAGGATTATCTACAGATCTCAGTCATCTGAGTTTTTTTTTTTCCCCTTGCCTTTGAGAAGACTAGCATGCTGGCATTAATCTCAAATCTTAAAACTTTCATGAATTATATCCACTGTCTCCCTCATTTCCTCTGCCCCTATCATCCATTACCTGTAAAGTATACAGAGATTTTTGTGCAAGATACACTAAGTCCTGGAGCCTTTATTCTCACAGAGTCTACCCGTCAGTCCATCACCAATCCTTGCACAGGTCTCAGTCTCTGTGGGGCTCGTGTTCTGAGTCCTGCAGGGGATGGGTGAGAGGTGCTGACAGAAAAGGTGGCAGCTCTTTCCCGTGACGCTGACGTCAGACACTTGCAGAAATAATTTGAACATTCCTGACGAGGGCTCGATGCCATTTTATGACTTTTTCACTCATAAATTTAATCCATGCTCAGCTGTTTTTATTTCTAGGCCATATAATGCTTTACAGGGTAATAAGTACTGTAATTTTACTGCTCACTGTGTAAAATCACTACTCCTTCTCATTTGTCTCTCTTGGCTTCAGGAAAGCCACAACAATTCTAATATTGTGATCAAGTCTCTGCTTGTTCTATTGACAAATGTAACCAATTATCTCCCCTTTTATGATGTGCATAGACCTAAAATGTCAGGCTGCCCGTAAACAATCATATCTATAAACAAAAACACCCTAAGCTCAATTACACAGAGTAACCCGATGAGAAAAGGGGAACAGACAGGTTTAACGAGGTCACAGTAACAATTATGCTTTTATGGCTGCCTCTCTTCTGTATCATGCTCTCTCCCATGACAGTTGTGGAGGAGACTCATTTTTATTCGCTTTCTCTCCCTTACCCTACCCCTCCCCTCTAGCATAGTCTTTCTCAAACATCTGGACATTTAGACCCAAGAAGCTGAGCCTACCTGTCAGTTTCTCATTGGGTAGGAGATGGGGGGTGAGCCTGGGCATCTGCTTAGCCTTGGAGTGCCAGGTGACTGGTGCTGCCCGTCTGGGCATGTCGGGGGACCCAGACCTCAGTGGGGCTAGGGTATTCACTGGGGGAGCAGCATAAGTGGTAACTGAAAAGATGGTGCTCCCTGTAAATGAACTCGAATCCCCAGCTCTGTATCTGTGCCTGGGACCTAAGCTGTTCTAGGACCTTGTTCTAGAAGGAAAGAGAAGATTCAGACATGGAAGGCAAGCCACCCTCACCTGGCAGGGCCTCCTTCCAATCATCTTAAGGCAAACAGCAGGCAGGGCAGGACTGGCAATGCTCTGGGCACTGTCCTCCCATGGCTGCCATGGAGAAAATCTCCTTTCTTCACCTTCACCACGTCTCTTTCTGCGGCCTGTGGGGCCAGGGCCAGGCCTGGCTCGGGAGTGCTGGGGTCTGAGAACTGAGTTTCAGCAGCTAAGCTACTATAACAATGACAGCCCAAGGAAGGGAATTAAGGATGACAAAGGTCATGTATCCTAAAAAAGGCAGTGGTAGGCCAGGGCAGAAAGGCAATGCTGCTTGTCAACTCTGCCAGGCTTTCCCTTGTAACTTCCATTGATGGGTTGGAACATGCGGTTCTCGGATGTGGGGTGATGGGGAGAAGTGACTTGAACATTGTGCACATCACTTCCAAACTTATCCCACTGGCTAAGGCTGGGACGTGCAGGGTCTCCCTGGGCTCTGTGCTCTACTAAACTTCAAGGTGAGGAAGGAGCCGGGCACCAGCTACTCAGGAGGCTGAGATCTAATGATCACAGTTCAAAGCCAGCCCAGGCAGGAAACCATCAAAAAGCCAGAACTAAAGCTGTGGTCTTAATTGGTAGAGCTAACCTTGAGTGAAAAAGCTAAGGGACAGTGCTCAGGTCCTGAGTTCAAGTTCCAGTACCAACACATAACAAATAAGTAAATAAAAACCAGAAAGAAAGGAAAAAAGAAAAAAAGAAAGAAAGAAAGAGAGAAAGAAAAAAAGCAAAAGCAAATTCTTTCCTAGATACATTTCAGGAGGTTATCGAGAGAAGTTGAGCTAACTGTAAAACCAACCAAACAAAAAAAGTGCTTGTTACACTCAGCATTTGGGGGCTCTTGGACTGTACAATAAGTATATGAAGTTGAAATTGTTCTGTGCTTTCAGAAGATGAACCTTGCCTGTACGTCTGAATTAAAGAACACAAGTATTTCCTGCAACCATCAGGGTTCCAAGAGGCCACTCCCAGCAAACACATGGAGCAGGAGTGGAGGCACACTTTGTACCAAGCAGCCCACTGCTGTGAGGAACATGCACCCAATCAACAGGCATTCCAAGGATAAGCCTGACTCCCTCACCCTTTGTCCCCTTCATCGCCCTCCATCTACCTCCCCAGAAGCTGGGATGACAGGCAGGCACCACCATACAGGGGCTTGAACTCAAAAGTGTCAAACCTGCTCAGCTCACTTGTGCACAGCTGGTGCTCGACCACTTGAGCCAGGCCTCCAGCCTGGCTTTGTGCTGGTTAATTAGAACTAAGACTCTCTCTGGGACTTTTCTGCCCAAGCTGGCTTTACACTTTGATCCCCTCAGTTTCCAGCCTCCTGAGTAACTAGGATGATGAATGCGAGCCATCAATGACCATCGATGACATTCACGAAGCGAATGCCTGCTAGCAGTTGGCGTGTGGGCGCCCACACCCCGCACCACCGCCCAGTCCCACCAGCGTGGATCGCTATGCACCCTCGTGTGCTGCCAGCAGTTGGGAGATCCACACCTTCTTTCACTGAGTCATTATTCTATTTCAAGGCTACAAAACAATATTCCTCAAAGGAAGCTAAGAATCAACTGTATAAATTTCCCCACACCATAATTCTGTCTGGAGGGTGACTGTCTGTGTCCTAGCGCATGCCCAGCCGCTTCTTCACCTCCTGGCACACTGGGTATGCTAACTCTTTGGCTTTGGCAGCCCCGGCTGTTAAAACCTTCTGTAAATAGTCCGGGTCTGCTTTCAGTTTCTCGATCTCCCTCTTCACTGGGGCGAACTTCTCAATCACGGCCTCCGCCACCTGCAGCTTGTAGTGGGCCGTGTCCAGGCCTGTGCTCCGGCTGACCACCTCCTCCACCGGGAGCCCGCTCACCGCCGCATGGATGGCCACCAGGTTGGAGACACCCGCTCGGCCCACAGGGTCGTAGGTGACTTCTGATGTGAAGTCTGTCACCGCCTTGCGGAACTTCTGCACTATCTCCTCCGGGCTGTCTGTTATTCTGACTGTGGCCAGTTTGTCGGGGTCGGATTTGGACATTTTAGATGAAGGATCACGAAGAGATTTCACTTTCTTCATGGAGGCTGAGTGGAAACAGCAATGCGCACACACATGCCAAAACAAACAAGTCACCATGAGTATTATTGTGTGTAAACATATGCTAGTACTGGGGCTTGAACTCAGGGCCTGGGTGCTGTCCCTTAGCTTTATCAAAAAAGCTCAAGGCTGGCTTTCTACCATTTGAGCCATGGCTCAACTTTCAGCTTTTTGCTGGCTAATTGGAGATAAGGCTTTTCAGCCCCAGCTGGCTTCAAACTCTGATCCTTAGATCTCAGCTTCCTGAGTAGCTAGGATGACAGGTGTGAGCCACCAGTAGCCAGCCTATCACTTCCCTCTTGTTTTATCTGGATTAAGATCCAGTAATCCCCACTCAAGCCTTTTCTTTTTCTTTTTAAATTTTTTTTTGTGTGAAAATACCATACAGAGAGGTTACAATTACATTTCTTATCAAGCATAGTTGCCCCCTCCTTTGTTTCCCCTTCCCATCTCCTCCCCGCCCCCACCAGCCTGTTCTTTTTATCACGAGTATTCAGAAATGCAAGTTACACTGGTTTTGACCTCAGAAGGGGTCATAGGCCAGCTCTGCCACCAGCTAGGCACTCAACTGATACAAAGCCAAGTTTGCCAACCAGGTGCCACAGGCCCACGCCTGTGGTCCTAACTACTCGGGAGGAGAGTCCAGGCAACCCAGGCAAAAATGTTCATGAGTTCCCCATCTCCACAGAAAAATCTGAGTGTGGTGGTGTGTACCTGTCATACCAGCCATGTGAGAAGTACAAATGGGAAGATCACACAGTCCAGGTCAGGCTGGGCAAAAATTGAAACCCAATTTCAAAATTAGCCAGAGCAAAGAAAGGGTTGGAGAGGTGTAGAGCACGTTGTAGGGCAAGCAGGAAGCCCTAGGATTAAACTCCAGAATCCCCTCCTGTTCAAGCCCACAGAACCCACAGTGAGCCTTGATAAGACTTAATTTCCTTAGGGAAATATAGAAGAAAGATATTTTCCTTATACTAAAAAAAAAAAAAAACACAAGGGGCTCACACCTGTAATCCTAACTACTCAGGAGGCTGAGATCTGAGGATGGCAGTTTGAAGCCAGCCCAGGCAGGAAAGAAAGTCCATGAGACTCTTATCTCCAATAAACTACCCAAAAAAGGCTGTAAGTGGCACTGTGCACAAGTGGCAGAGTGCCAGCCTTGAGCCAAAGATGCTCAGGGACAGTGCCCGGGCCCTGAGTGCAAGCCCAGTACACACACACAAATATATACATATACATATATATATGTATATACATATATATACATATATATAGATAGATAGAGATATAAATTTAACATCTGTAAAATAAGAAAAGTTATTTGTTGTGCCAATGTATTGTTATAAAATACTTCCATTATAACTTAAAATTCTTTAGTTTCTCCCATGTTTTTCAAATATTTTAGATATCTTTTCCAAAATAATCTAATATGCAATCCCAGTCCTGAAGGACAGAGAAAAAAAAAGGATTTTGCAACATATTCTCGCCAGGCGCTGGTGGCTCACGCCTGTAATTCTAGCTACTCAGGAGGCTGAGATCTGAGGATCGAGGTTCAAAGCCAGCCCGGGCAGGAAAGTCTATGAGACTCTTATCTCCAATTAACCACCAGAAAACCAGAAGTGGCGCTGTGGCTCAAGCAGTAGAGCACTCGCCTTGAGCTGAAGAGTGCAGGGACAGCGCCTAAGCCCAGAGTTCAAGCCCCATGATGGACCAAAAAAACCCCAGAACAAACAAATATATTCTGCAGCCTGTCCAAGTTCTGTTCCACAGAGGCTCCAATGTTCACCTCGCTAACCAGTCATCCCAGTGCCTGGTCCACCTGTCGTGTCTCCTGATGAGCCACCCCAGTGCACAGTCCATTTCTTACTTACTTAGAATAGATTGGGGCACTGGAAAGAACTCCCCATACTTCTTGTTGAAACCCCGTGCGAGGTCCTGGACTAGTTCCATGTGCTGGACTTGGTCCTCTCCGACAGGGACGTGCGTGGACCTTTAATAAAAGACAGACCCACAGACTCAGTCAGGAAGGCAAGTCATTAGCGGGGATCCATAGTGCAAGTGCCTGTATTTCTTGTTTTCTTCACTGTTGATGCTCAGTGAATGTGTGTCAGGTATGGAGGGGAGGGGACGTGGCGAGCCTAGTCTTTATCATCTTTATCCCTGCATCTTTCCCCAGAGGGAGAATGCGGCCATCGTGGCAGTGTGATCTGGCCTGGCCTGGCCGGGAGGGGAGGCCCTCCTAGCACTCACTCTGCCCACAACAGGGCTGTCCCACCACTCGCCCTCACTCAGAGTGCAAAAGGACAGCCCTAGCCAGATGCTTTGAGTCGCCCTACTCCACTGTGCAAACCCGACACTTGTGGAAAAGCTCTCCAGGCCGGAGTTTTTTCCCTCATCGCATGGCAAGCGATTCGAGATCTTTCGGGACTAGGCATCTTTGCGATTCAAGATCTTTCGGGACTAGGCATCTTTGCTTGCAAGTATATTGCAATGGCAGGATAATCAATCTGCTGCAGGGAGCTTAAATGAGAGATAGCTCTCTAAGTGTAACACAGCCAAATCTCAAAGAGGAAAAGCAACTTGCAACACAACGTGTAGAGCCCACGGACACGGATGTCAACTGGAAAAGCACACATGCACGTATTGCCTATTGTTTATAGATGCATAGATTTGCAGTTATAAATATAAAAGCATCCCGAAGGCTGGCTGCTGTACAGAGAAACTGCTTGCTATGTGCAAGTTAGGCCCAGTGTCAAATCCCTACCACTGCAAATGGAATAAAAGAAAACAAGAACAAAAATAACAGCCAGGTGCCCTGGCTCACACCTATAATCCTAGCTGCTTGGGAGGCTGAGATTGGAAGAATTGAGGTTTGAGGCCAACCTAGGCAAAAAGTGAAGGAGACCCCATTTGAACTAAGTGAAAAGCTGGGCACAGTGGCACATGCCTGTCATTCCAGCTATGTGGGAATTACAAATAGCAGGATTGTTGTGCAGCTCAGATGGAGAGGAGGGAACAAAACCCTATTTGAAAAAAATAACAAAAGCAAAAAGGGAGGGAGGCGTGGCTCAAGTGGTAGAGTGCCTACCTAGAAAACACAGGCCCTGGGATCAAACCTCAATGCTGAAAAAGAAATATTGAAAGCATTTCCCCAAATGCGTGATTACAATTATGACTGCTTCTAAAATAGGAGGAAAGGAAATAGCTCTGAAGAAAGAAACAAAGGAGATCTGAATTTGATCTATAATATTCTATTTCATTAAAAAAATGAAGATTTGGCTGGGCTCAATGACATGTGTCTCCTAGTCCAGCTATGAGGGGGAAATACAAAGGCTGGGCACAGCAGTGCCAGAGACACAGGGAGGCACAAGGAAGAGAATCACAGTCCAGGCATTAGCCTAGAATTCTACCCCAAAACCCACCAATGCAAAAAGGGGCTGGAGGCGTGGCTCAAGTGGAAGAACGCCAGACTTGAGTGAACAAGCTAAGGAACAGAAAACCCAGACCCTGAGTTCAAGCTCTAGTACAGGAAGAAAAAAGATCCTATGAAAGACCTTGCTGTAAGATATGTGCAGCTTTTTCTCCTGTAAGATTATTTTCCTTTTTGATTGCTGTCTAGCCCAATAAAACAGAAAAATGTCAATGTATAATCAATCCCAGGGCTGGTCCAGACCCGACAGCAGTGCTGAGCTGGGACTAGAACACACCTGAGACCAATACTAACTCACACAGTACATCAGGTGATCCCCAAACATAAGGCTGTATTGCAGGAATTCTGGAGCTTGAACTCAGCTGGTCCCTGAGCTTTTCTGTTCTAGGCTGGTGCTCTACCACTTGAGCCACAGCACCACTTCCAGCTTTTTTTGGTATATAACTGGAGATAAGAGTCTCATGGACTTTCCTGTTGGCTTCAAACCTCGATCCTCGGATCTCAGCCTTCTGCGTGGCTAGGATTTCAGATGTGAGCCACTCTGATGACTCTTTCTAAAAATTATTAGTTCCAAACAAATTTTCACGTTTTCCTACGGGCATATAATCTGCTTTGACTACATTCTCCCACCACTGCCTCCCTGTCCTCATCTCTCTCCCTGACCTTGATCTTCCTTTTCTCCCATCTTTTTGTTTAAATCTAGATTCCATGTAGGTGAGAAAAACACACGCCGTTTATCTTTTATTATTTCGCATAATACGATGATCTCCATTTCCATCCATTTTTCCTGTACACAACAATCTCATTCTTCCTTTTCTTAATGCTATGAAGTTTAAGTAGTTGTACAAAGGGTCAAGTTTCAATTCAGCACGTCAGGTTCTGAGTACAGTGCATCTTGATCCTGTTCTCCATTCCCTCCCCCTCCCCAGCCCAATCTCATTTTTCTTTATAGCTGAGTAATACTCCCTCACATAGACAGATCACATTTCTCCACTTCCATCTCTAGGTCACTGTGGCCAGGGCCACATAGCCAGGGGTATGTGGGTATCTCTATTCTTACTGACTTGGATTCCTTTGGGCATGCGCCCAGGAATGGTAGAGCAGAACCACAGGAGCGCTCTTAAGGAAGACGGAGTCAGAGCGAAATACGAAGACCAAGACTGGGGATGGACAGTGTCCCTCCCTTCTCCTAAGGCCAGTACCTCAGTGGAGAAAACTCTAAGACAACTATAAGGGCCAACCACAGAGCCCAGAATGGCAAGCTGGCTCAGTGCCCAGAAAACGTGAGAACACCCCCTTTTTCAAGCCCCCCACACCACCTCCTTGCCCTGAGCAGAGCGGCACCAGGCTCAGCATCGCCTGCTCCTTTGTCAGCTTCTCATCCCGGGCTGGACTTGGCTGCCACCGGGTAATGTCACTGAGGCTGATGTACAGAGGTCGCCTGGACTCCCCAAACCAAATTAGCCAGCAGGGCAGCTTAAAAAGCAGTTACAGTAGCCCAAAGGAAATCACCACGGACTGCAACGAACACAGAGAAAACAATTACCATAATCAATACACTTTAAGCACATCAAAATGAATATTTCCACATGTCAAAATAGTTCCAGATTCACCAAGTGACCGAGAGAAACAGAAAACACATTGGGGTTTGCACAATGGCACAGAATACATTTTTGCCTTCTGTCCATTCTTGCTGCTGCTTCCTTTTTCTTTCTTCTTCTTTTTCTTTCTTTCCTTCTTCTTCTTCTTCTTCTTTTCTCCTCCCCCTCCTCCCCCTCCCCCTCCTCCTCCTCCTCCTCTTTCGTCTTCTTCTTCTTACAGTTCTGGGGAATGGATTCTTTTCTTTCTTTAAAGGATTAGAACATGTTAATTTTTTGCACCTGTGCTGTTGTTCCACGTGGCCATGTGCATCTGACTTCAGTTTGTTTGTTTCGGGTCTTTGCTCCCTCTGTGTCCCCCCTCCTTGCCCCCCCCCTTTCACCTCCTATAATTTATCCTGGCCTTTAACTTTTCAGCCACGGAGTTTACACTTGCCATTAATTCAGCCTGTCTTTGATCCACTCACTTGCGGGGCTGATTCTCTGCACGCCTCCAGCCCCCCTTCTCCGGCTCCTCCTGCTCCTCCTCTCTTTCGGATAATTTAGTGCTGCTCTGTGAAAATTTATGCCCTGCATAATGATAGCCATATTAATACAGCCACCCTTTCCCCCCTTTTCCTTCTTTCTTTCTTTTTTTTTTTTTGCCTCTTACCCTGGCCGTGCTTTCTTCAACACAACATAAAACAAGTCTTTCATAATTTTGATTGTTATAACTTCTGTCACATAATAATGCCTCTGATCTTCTTCTTTAGTGGCTAAACTATTTTTCTTTTTTCACACAATTCCTCCTTGCAGCCATTCCTTGGGACTCACTCCACCCCTCCGGCAGGATTAGTGTCCAGATAAAGAACCAGAACCTCCTGGCAGATTCCTGTCTCTTTTTTCTTTTTCTCCCTCCTTCCCTCTCTTCTCTCCTTTCCCTCTCTTCCCCCCCCCCTGCCCCCCCTCTCCTCTTCCCACCCTCCAAATTCTTTGGCTATGTTTTTAAATTTCGTTCTATTGTGTGGGAAAGGGGCTTGGCACTGTCTATACAAAAAAGGATGCGTTCTCCTATCTCTGGCAGTTACTGGATATGCTATGCCTGCCTGCCTTCCTTCCTTCCTTCCCTTCTTTTCCTTCTTTCCCTTCTCTCTTCTCTCCTCTTCTCTTCCTTCCCTCTTCTCTTCTCTTCTTTCCCTTCCTTCCTTCCTTCCTTTCTTCCTTCCTCCCTCCCTCCCTCCCTCCCTCCCT